TGTGTGTGTGTGTGTGCAGCGAAGGTTGCTGTGGTGTCAAATGGCCCTGTCACTGAGAAGGTGACATTGAGTAAAGACCTGCAGGAGGCGAAGGAAGGAGCCAGGAGTTCCAAATGTCAGGGAACGGCCGTGCAAAGGCCCTGCGGAAGGAATGCACCCGCCTTGTCGTGGCTGGAACAGAACCGGGGTACAGGGAGTGGGAGGGGAGCCAAGGTCAGGGAGGGAGATTGTGAGGGGTCATGGGCCACAGGGAGGGCTTTGGCTTTTCCCCTGAGTGACACGGAGCCACAGGAGGGCTCTGAGCAGAATGGTCCTTCACTCTCTTCCTCCCAGGGTTAATCATTTTCATCCTTTTGCCTGTCCCCTAAACAACTGAGCAATGCTGTTTGACAAACATGAAAAATCATTCCTGTGTTTGGCCACATCCTGACTCTCGGAGGTTTCACTGCAGGGGTGCGGGGGGGAGGTGGCTCACAATAGATCTATTCGAGTTAAGTGTGGTAAGGCAGGCCTTTCTGTGTGGCCATGGCCAGATCACTTCGGCTTCTGAGCCTGGGGTCTCTTCTCTATAGAATGCTGGCAAAACCCTCCCGAAAGCCGACCAGGCTGCAAGGATTCAAGGAGCCCCAGAAGCACTTGGAGTGGCGCCTGGCATGCAGGGGCACGTTTCAGCCGAGGCCAGACCTGCCTGGATCGCTGGCGTCTGCTGGCTTCTGCACCGTGTCTGAGAGGCCCGTGTGACACAGGAGCTACGCCTACTCCCACAGCAAGGCCAGCTGGGCTTCTTGCGACACCTCCTCTCACCGGTCTTTCTGGTTTCCCCACCCTACCCAGACCTGCAGACGCTGGCAATGCCTCGAAATAAAGGGCCCTGGACCATGGAACAAGGTGTCCCCCTCGAAAGTAAGAACTAAAGGCCGTGCAGTGGCTCACGCCTGTAATCCCAGCATTCTGGGAGGCCGAGGCGGGAGGATCGCTCAAAGTCAGGAGCTCGAGACCAGCCTGAGCAAGAGCGAGACCCCGTCTCTACTAAAAATAGAAAAATCAGCCGGTGTGGTGGCACGTGCCTATAGTCCCAGCTACTCGGGAGGCTGAGGCAGGAGGACTACTTGAGCCCAGGAGTTTGTGGTTGCTGTAAGCTACGATGACGCCACGGCACTCCACCTAGGGTGACAGAGTGAGACTCTGTCTCAAACAAACAAAAAAGAAACCAAGAACTAATCATTGCAGAGAAGCTCCTCATCTTGTCCCCCACAAACCTCTAAATGTTCTAATTATTCATAATCATAAATAACAGCTGCATCCATAAATATATTACACATATGAACTCCTTCAATCCTCACAGCGACCTGATGAGGCAGCTGCTAACAGTGGCTTTTTCTTCAGAGGGGGCGTCGGTGGCACTGAGAGGTTAAAGGTGCAGCAGAGGTGGCAGGCGGCGCCTGCCTGAGGCTGGGGCCCTTGCCCTTAAGCAGCACGGCAGCTACTCGGGTGACAGTCCCTTAGCAGCTAAGAGCAAGGACTCTGTAGCCAGAGTTCAAAAGTCCCAGCTCTGCCACTTACCCAGTGTGAGTGAGAACTACGTCCTCACCTTTAAAATGCGGACTGGTTATACCCGTCTTGTAGGGTTGTGGTTAAAATGCATGACTGTGTTTGAAGTGCTTAGGATAGGGCCTGACACGCATGAGACCAATTCTTTTTTTCTAATTAGTAGCTCTACTCCCTCACTGGGTCACGGTGTGACCCTGCATTTCTTCTTTCTGGCCTGCAGGATCTTGCTGCCGAAACTAGGATGAGAAGGCCTCAGCCAGCTGGGAGCCCAGGCCCGGCCCGGCCTGGCCACAGGTGAACTGTCACTGCTCTCTGCTCAGACATGGCCTCCAGGAGCGCGAGGGGTCAGGCACAGCGACTGCCTCCCCTGTTTCCACGTCCCCAGCACCCAGGAGGGGCTCTGGCGCCGGACTGGCCTCACCTCGCTCAATGTCTGTTGAATGAATGAACGAACAAATAAAAAGAGAATCCGAGACGGGTGTAGAAAGAAAACAAGGGACAGACATGCAAAAATGTTAACAAATGGAAGTAGCACATTGACGGCCACACTGGGAAAAACAATTACTTCCTTGGGGCCAGGGTGTTTTATTACAAAAACAGAATAAAAACTTCAAAAACAAAACGTTCCTTTCTAATTTAATGACAAATTTGGTTTTCTTGTTGTTTTCTGTGAGTGAGTTACATGCAATTTGAAAAACAGTTCTCGCAGCTCCCAAGGTGAAGAGACGTGAGTTATGTATGCTTCATGAGGCCCTGGGCTCAAAAGTATGGTGAGTTAAATACAACTCACGGGGCAGTGAATGCGATGGATTGTTAGGGAAGTGAGACTCAGTGGAAAGCACAGGGGTGGGGGAGGAGGTGAGGGGAATAAGCCAACCTAATGGGTACCACGAACACTATATGGGTGACAGGTACACCTATAGCCAGGACTTGAGCATTACAAAAATCATCCATGTAACCTAAAACATTTGTATCCTCTTAATATTTAAAATATATAGGCCGGGCGTGGTGGCTCACGCCTGTAACCCTAGCACTCTGGGAGGCCGAGGCGGGCGGATTGTTTGAGCTCAGGAGTTCGAAACCAGCCAGAGCAAGAGCGAGACCCCGTCTCTACTAAAAATAGAAAGAAATTAATCAGACAACTAAAAATATATACCGAAAAAATTAGCCGGGCATGGTGGCGCATGCCTGTAGTCCCAGCTACTCGGGAGGCTGAGGCAGGAGGATCGCTTGAGCCCAGGAGTTTGAGGTTGCTGTGAGCTAGGATGACGCCACGGCACTCTAGCCTGGGCAAAAGAGTGAGACTCTGTCTCAAAAATAAAAAAAAGAAAAAAAAATATATATATATATTTACATATAAGGCTTATGTATAAAAGACTTAGCCTAATGGCTGGACACGTTCAACTTTCAAACAAACAAAAAAAGAAATAGATTGTTGACTGTCTGTCTTCTCCACTGAGTTGGGCGCTCCATGAGGGCAGGACCTTGGGTTGTCTCTGTCACCACTGGGTCCCCAGCACTGGGCTGGGCCCTGTGCAGAAATCAGCGTCTGTGGTCTATGGCCACACCACTCTGAACACACCCCATCTCGTCTGATCCCAGAAGCTAAGCAGGGTTGGGCCTGGTTAGTACTTGGATGGGAGACATCAGTGTATATGACATTTAGCTTCTCATATGGTCCTAAGGGGCTGACCCTCCCACCGATGACAGCTACATGCTCTGGCTGGACAAGACCCAACAACTACCTGACGGCAGCAGGCAGAGATGCTAGTGGGCAGCAGAGCCTGGCACAAAGTGAGCTACTTGTTTTTAAAGCTGTCAGGCTGAGGGTAGACTCAAGTCGTGCTTGAAGAACCACAGGACAGAGTCCAGGGTGACCGTATCCGCCAGACAGTGTGGGGAGAAATTCCAGAAAGAGGGGAGCCCCACGCTCCGTTTAAACTCTGTCCCAATCCCTTGCTGACTCGTGAATCATACATGAAGCCCAGTACAAGATTCAAAAACTAATTCCAACCGAGCTGCTAAAACAGGAAATTCAACACTTTGGAGTTACATAATAGAATCTAGGGTTTCCATAATATCTTATTCCTATATCCCAATATCCAGGATACAATCCAAACTTCCTCAAAACACACAGAAACAGGAAAGTGAGAGCCACTTTCGAGAGAAAAGATAATAAACAGAGACTCACCTCAGGATGACCCAGATGTTGGAATTGGGAGACCAACGATTTTAAAGCAGCCATTATAACTATGCTCAATGATGTAAAGAAAAATATGCTTGTGACATATAAAAAGAGATAAAATTTCAGCAGAGAAATATAAAAATATAAAAAGAGAACCAAATGGAATTTGCGAACTGAAAACTACAATATCTGAAATTCAAAACACCGGATGGGCTTAACAGCAGAACAGAGGCGACAGATGAGACCGTCACTCTGATCAATGGAAATGATCCAACCTGAAGAACACGTGGGACAATCAAAAGATGTAGCAGGCCTGGCATGGTGGCTCACAAGTGTAATCCTAGCACCCTGGGAGGCTTGAGTTCGGGAGTTTGAGACCAGCCTGAGCAAGAGTGACACCCTGTCTCTATTGAAAACAGAAAAAGTAGCTCCGTAGTCTCAGCTACTTGGGAGGCTGTGGCAGGAGGATCACTCGAGCCCAGGAGTTTGAGGTTGCTGTGAGCTAGGCTGATGCCATTGCTCTTTAGCCCGGGAGACAGAGTAAGACCCTGTCCCAAACACAAAAAAAGATCTAGCAGACATGTCACTGGAAATCAATTAATGTGTGTTGAATGACTGCATGAAATCACCTTATTATAATACACTTTGCTTACACAGCAATAGACTCTGAGAGGTTAAGTGCCTTGGCCACAGATCGAGACGGAAATCCAGACTTCAGAGCCTACGATCCTGTTCTGTTCTTTTGGACTAATTTCTATATTTGAATGTTTTAAATCAGACTTTTAAAAAAAATGATAAAAGTATAAGTTAGAAGCTGCTTAAAACCCTAACTAAGAAGCAGTGCTCTGTTTCCAGGAGCAGGGAAGACTGGGGTAAGGGCTGGGGATGGGGCTGAGGAACACCTGGTACCTGACGTGAACATTCTTCCTGCGCCAGAGATCACCACAGCCCGACAGTCGGTGTCCTTCGCTATCTTGTGGAAACACTCCACCATCTCACTGCGGAGAAGCAAAGAGTGAAGGGCTTCACTGGGGTGGGAATCCCCTGCCCTTGTGTCCATCTCTGCCCCATGTTTCACCCTTGCCCAGTCCCTCAGCCCCTGCCTCCTCCTGCAGGCAGGCCTCCAGGATCTGCAGGTCAGACCTCCAGAAGATCTTGTTCATGGCATTCCTCTTGTCGGGCCGGTTGAGCTGCACATGTAGAATGTGTTTCTGGACAGGTGTCACTCGAAGGGCCTCATAGCTGTGGCCGGGGGCTTCACCGAGGGCTGCTCTGCAGGCCTCATCTTGTGCTGAGGAGCCAATGGGGCGAAAGCTAAGATTGAGGCCCTGGAGCATGGGGGCTGTCAGTCCTAGGGAGAAAGGAAGAGCCTTTGATGACCACAAATTGGGGACACAGCACCTTCAAGTGCAGAGAACACACCTCAGTGACACTAGCTTGAGGAACACAGGCCCCTTGGGGACCTGGGTTTAGGAGGATACAGGATTTAAGATCGTGGTGCACTTGGTGGCTTCAGTCTGAGAACGCCACTTCAAACTCTCGATTCTGAGACTGCGGACAGTGAGCCGTCAGGGACTCCAGAAAGTAAGACAGAGGCCTATAGAATTAGAGAACCCTTCAGATGGGAGTACACCGACCCCTGTATTTAGGGGGTTCAGGCCCTCGTGACCCTAGATAGGCCTCTCGGTCCCACAGCTACTATGACAGCACGACAGGGCGACGGACCCTCACAGGTCAAGAGGTGACTCACGCCAGGTCAGAAGGTCGCGGAGTCCGCGAGAAGCCGCTGTCACCGCCGCCATCGTGACTAGGTCGAGCGAATAACCCGAAAAGGAGGAAGCGTAGGGGGCGGGCACAAAAGGCCGCCATGTTGGGCGAGGGCATCGAAGCCACAGCCTGACCGGTAATGACGCCCTTCTCGCCATCTTTACTAAGGGCAACCGGAAATAGCGTCCTCGGTTCGCTTGCGTAGTTACAGCCAGTTTTGGAAATAGACCCTTTGCCCTAGTGGGAACCCGGCCTGAGAAAATAATTCATGCTGAAGTTCATCACAGAGCTATTTCATAACGGTGGAAAAACTGAAGACAGCTGAAATGTCCGAGGATATGATGGCAGCGTAACTTGTAATCATGCACATATACATCATGTTAACTAACATCTGTTGCAGCGCTGAGTTTACCCACTTAAGGGTTGACTCTATGCTTGAATTCCCATACCACCACGAGGTCGCAGTATTCCCCTTTTACACTGAGGGAACAGGTCCAGGGATGGCAAGTCATTAGTTCAAGGTCGCTGGGCTTCAGGAGTGCTCAAGCAGGATCACATGGCTCCAAAATACATGTTCTTTATAAAAACAAAACCCAAAGGAAAAAGCCAGTTACCCAAGGGCATAAAACGTACTGCTTAAGTATGCTCCTCAGGGAGACATTCACCAAGGCTGCGAGCAGATGCCTGTGGGCCAGTGGGATTGCAGGGAGTATCTTTCCTTCTTAATGAACATGTCTAAAGGGGTTTTCCGACTAGATGGGCAGGCTTTGGAAGACAGGACCAGCAACTGTCCCTAACAGAAGACTAATTATCTGTGCAATGGAAAACTCTGAAACCCCCATGCGGAGATACCAAATGTGAGAAAAAAAATTTAGTACGATCCTTTGGTGTTAGTTGTACATGGCTATATGTGCACAGAATATGGTATATGTGTATCTATGGAAGGAGACAAACTGCTAACGGGGAATAAAATTGGGTGCTAGGAGACAGGTAAGATCCACTTTTCATCCCCTTAAAGACAAACTCTAGTTGATTTAGAAGTTCATGGCTGCAAGACAGCTGTAACTTCCTCCTTGTCCAAAAGTTGTTTCAAACTTTGCCTGGTGAAGCAAAGTTTGTTCATGCGATAAGTGATACTATGTGACTTCAGTAGTTGTTAATGTTAGGAGTTTAAAGGCTTCTTCACAGTAAATTTCCAAAGTGGGTTCTTTCTCAAGCACACATGTGTAAATTCCAAGGTAGCACGTTTATGACCTGCTCCTGTCAGTCTCCAAATCAGGATCCTTCCAGATCGTACCCCACTGCCAGCTGTCTTCACAGGTGCACATCTACAAGTGGGGAGTATCAATCACATTGCAATTATATTTACCTTGTATATATCCTTTAAGCCAGCAACTGCACTATTTACCTCCAGATTATTAACAGGGAAGTTGGCTATTTGTATAAGGATAGGCATTGCAGTAGTGTTTGCAGTAGCAAAACAGACCTGGAAATTATCACCAGGACCAAGTAAATTATGACATATCCACATGTGAACTAAAATATTAAACCCCCCAGCTGCCTGAATACCCCCTTGGCCAAGGGGACCCCAGAAATACCCCAAAGCGAGTTGCTGGCCATGAGAAGGGAGGTAAGACACACCTCCCCTTCTCTTCTTGATGTTCTAACTCATTAACAGGCCTATACAAGACAGTTTAAATCACACCCAACCAGGTCATCAGTTTACTGAACAGATCATGAGCCTGGGTGTATGTCTAGTCATTTGCCTCTGTTTTACAGACTTCCTTACCTTCACATTCTAAGCCTTTAGACAAAGCTTCATTTCTTTTTTTTTTTTTGAGACAGAGTCTGTGTTGCCCGGGCTAGAGCGAGGGCTAGAACGAGTGCCATGGCGTCAGCCTAGCTCACAGCAACGTCACACTCCTAGGCTCAAGCGATCCTTCTGCCTCAGCCTCCCGTGGGACTACAGGCACGTGCCACCACACCCGGCTAATTTTTTCTATATATTTTTAGTTGTCCAATTAATTTCTCTCTAGTTTTAGTAAAGACGGGGGTCTCACTCTTGCTCAGGCTGGTCTCGAACTCCTGAGCTCAATCAATCAACCCACCTCAGCCTCCTAGAGTCTTAGGATTACAGGTGTGAGCGAAGCTTCATTTCTTTAACCAATTACAAATCAAAGAATCTTTAAAACTACCTATAATCTGTAAAGCCCTTGCTTTGAGATGTCTCACCTATTCAGGCCAATGTATGCCTTCCATGTGTTGATTTACATGTAATTGACTTTACATGTAATTCCTGTGTCCTTGAAATGTATAAAACCAAACTGTAACCCAAACACAGCAGGCCCCACCTGTTCAAGGCTTCTTGGGTGTGGCTCTGGGCCATGGCCCTCAAACTTGGCTCAGAATAAACTTCTTTAAATAATTTTACAGAGTTTGGGTTATTTTACATCGACACAGACAACTGATACTATCCAAGGGTAAAGATAAGAAAGTCACTGTGCTACGATACACAACACAGTGAATTTTATCATTTACAGACAGGGCCTCACTCTGTCCACTTTGCCCAGGATGGAGTGCAGTGTGGCAACCACACCTTTAACTCTCCAGACTCCGGTTAGTCTTCTGCCTCAGCCTCCTGAGTGGCTGGGAGTACACGTGCACACCACCACACGCAGCTACAGTTTTTATTTTTTCTGTAGACACAGGGTCTCACAATCAGCCAGGCTGGACTCCAGGCCTCAATCAGTCCTCCCATCTCAGCCTCCCAAAGTGCGAGCTATCGTGCCTGGCACAAAGCTTTTAAAAAAAAAAACCCACATAAACAGACATGAGAACTTACTTTACGGAAAAAAAAAAAAAAATCACCAAAAATTGTTAACTTTGGGTAAAGAGATTTTCACTTTCCTTTTTGAAGTTTTATGTTCCAACCTTATAAAAAGGCGGCCATACACTTTGCAGAGTCAGGCCCATTTTTTGGGCCTCAAAATTTAAAATTTTTTCTACACCATTTTTTATTGAGGTGGGGTTTCACTGTATTGTCCAGGCTGGTCTCAAATGATCCTCTCATGGAGCTGCCCATTGGGCTACAATTGTGCAAGGCGAGTGATTCCAACTAGACAGAACTTGCTTGGGTAGCCCACTAAGAATGCCACTAGGCCTGCTGGATCTTCCTCAGGACTCCCAATTTGCTACCACCATTCCGTGGCCCGCCCAGCTCCTCTCAGGGTTCCCTGTGCCTCCCCAGCGCCTGGGGCTGTGCCCTGGCTTGCCTGAACCTCTTCAGAAGACCTGAGTGAGAGGGAGGGAAGCAAACCCGCCCTGGAATCCCAGCAAGTGCTGTTTATTTTCCAAACAATTTTATTGAAATGTGCCAAGAGTACATGGGTAGCACAAATGTATGAACAGGAAAAAAAAAAAAATCACATGTACAATAATTTTTAAAAAGTGAAGGTTAATCTTGGGAGATATCAGTTCCCCTCTCCCTCCCCCTCAAGACTTCCAGAGTTTTCATTATGGTTAAGCCTCTACACACCAGCCAGGGAAAAAAAAGAATACCAGAACTTTTTGCAAAAAAAAAAAAAAAATCAAATAAAATAAAATGAGAAAACAAAACAAATCAGCGTAAAGGAAAGAGAAACATTTTCCTGCTCAGATGAGATTCTTCCTAGGCACCTAATTAGGAGGCGTGCTGAGCGGTGGAGAAACACAACTTCAGAGTGTAAGGGTACGGACCATCTGCAGAGAGAGAGAGAGAGAAGTCTGGCCGGGCCCTCTCCTGGGAGGCTGCCCCACCCAGTTCCCCCCATTTTGCACCCACCTCCCATTTTCTGGAGTTCAACTACAAGGGTAATTTTACCTGCTAGTTGGTATTACCCCTTTCCTGGGTACTACCTAAACCAGTCTCTGATGCACAGACAGAATGCCCCCTCCCTGGAGCGCAAGCCTGAGCAACTCGGAAGCTGGGAGAGTGGGTGGCAGCAAGCAGTAAGGCTGACCCGCCCATGAGCAACATTAGGCTGCTCTCCGGGTGACCAGGTCCCGCCTGTGTCAGTGAGAAAATCCCTGGGGTCCTATCTCGAGGGCAGGAAGGATGGCTCTGGCACGAAGCCAGCCAACTCATTAGGTGACCAGGGGGATGACGCAGGACGCGCAGATACTCACTTGGGTTTTTCATCTGGTAATGGTTCAGGAAGCCCAAAGTCTCAAGGGCGTCACTCTTGGATTCCCACTCCAGCAGCCCAGAGGAGCTGCGTTCACCTGATTGGAAAGTAAAGGGAAACACCACAGGTTTTAGGCTGACCTGAGCAGGCACTAGACAGCCGCCCATCGACAACCGAGGAAGCGGGGGGAGGCAGGAGCAGCTTACTCACTTTTGCCTGAGAATACTTTCACAGAAGATGGCCGCTTCACCCCCAGCTCATCGCAGATCTGCAACAGAAGCAGGTAGTAAAGGGACTGGGAGACAGGTGCCAATTCAAGAAGATTAGGCCCTGCATGAGTAAGTATTTGAGTTTTCCAGAGAAAGAGTTTTCTAGGTTTTATCACATACCACAGTCCCCGTGATATAAAAAAGGTTAGCAACACCACTCTTAATTACTATTATTACGTTGCCAAAGACTGGGAAACGGCTTTTTAATTTTCCGTCTCCAGCAGCTGCTGGGTGTGTCAGCAGAGTCAATGTTTGCTGAAATGAAGGCGGCACCACGTCCGGTGCAAGGTCCGCTGGGGAGCGTCCTCCCTCTCCAGCTGCGCTCGGTCCCTGACCCAGCTTTAGAGCCCTGCCTTCTGACGTTATCTAGATACCCTGAGGTCCTGACAATGCGGACGTTTTGCGACTGGCCTCCCATCACCAGGCCTGTCCCAGGTTTGCCGTAACTGCAAAGACGCAGCATGGTCAACTCTACTGTTGAGAGAAGTTTGGTGCCATTCTCCCATGTCTAGACTTAGAACAGGCATCCGTATCTGTCCTGGTTTCTGCTCTGTCCCCAGGACCCAGTCCAGGGCCTGTCAGAGCAGGAGCTCAAAAGCTATC